TTAATGGAAATCACAGAGCTAACATCCTTATTTCAGAAAAACAGCTTCCTCTTTGGGAACCAAAAACATCACAGACTAAAGAAACAACTAATATACTCAACTTATAGTGCTATGAGATGATCTCATTTTATAGGTTAAAAGGTTTCAGATGGAATAATTTTTTGGAACAAGAAGCCACCCTGATTTAGAGCATTTGATTAACAAGGTATTTTAAATATTTCTCGTGGATTTTTATTGCGTAAGAGTCACATACTTTTAAAGATATGTTATTTTCAACTAGATTGCTTAAACACAGACTATACTCTTCAGTTATCAGATTCTGGACAGTGGAGGAATGCAGAATTCAGAATTTTTTTTTAAAAAGAGTATTGTTTGATTTTTAAATATTTATGGTTTTGATCCTGACAGTTATTTGTTTGTGTTTCATCTTTTTTATCTTATTTTTAAAGCTAATGAAAGGAGAGAAGATTTTTGTAAGGGGTTTAATGTTGTACACAGAGAATATGTATTTTATAATATAAATGAAATGAAGCAATAGGTGCGGGGGAGTACTTTTTACTTTTAATCAACACTGGGGCAGGTACTTGAGGCACTCATGGGTCCCCTCAAACTGTTTACAGTTGAGATGGAGAGAAAGCCTAACATTTATGCCACACCAGCATGCACTGTGAGAAAGGATAAAATTACGTGCTGATTTACAAGGTGCAGTAAGTGTACAAGTACAGACGAGAGGAAGAGACGAGGGCTGTGTTGTCCTAGCAAAGGCTTACCTGAAGGATCCCAGATAAAGAAAAGTTGGAGGATGTTAAGAAAAAGGGGGCCCCGTGAATAGAAGCCAGTATAAGAAATTTCACAGGACTAAAGGTAGCGTTTTCAGGGGAAGAATATTCCCCAGGTAGGGTTGCCAGAGTTAGCCAATAAAAATACACAACAACCCATTAAATTTGAATTTCACATAAACAGTGAATAATTTAGATATCCCCCAGGCAATACTTGGGACTTATCTATACTAAGAAATTATTCGGTGTTTATATAAGATTCAAATTTAACGAGGCATGATGTATTTTATCTGGCCACCCTAGACCTTGGCCTTTCTTTCCCCCCCCCCTCTCTTTTTTTTTAAGACTCCAATGGGGCCTCCCTGGCTTGACAGTGGTTCTCTGAACGCAGCTGCCTCCTAGCTCTCTGAGTCAGGACTGCAGTGACTGGCGTGCCCCAGCAGCAGGAGGATGCTCTCATCTGGTTCATAGCCAGCCACACACCTGTTGGCTTTTCCGGCATACTAATTTTGGGCTTCCTGAAGAAGAGAACAGAATGTTTTGTTTTGTTTTTAAAGATTTTATTGGGGAATTGGAGGAGGGAACAGCGTTGGGGAATCAGGAGAGGGGAACAGGGGAACAAACAAGTTGCTGTCCTTTTGTTCTTCAGTCTAGTTGTGGAGGACGTCGCTACACTGGCCCACGTTGGTATTGTGATCATTGCGCTCTTCCCAGCTGAAGCAGATGGGTCACCGGCCATTGGACGGCCACTCATGGCGGCTCACGGCAACTCATGTCGGCTGCCAGCCGCTCACACTGGCTGCCAGCCACTCACGGTAGCTTACGGCAGCTCACTGCAACCCCACTGCAGCCTACACCATTGCCAGCAACTCACAGCAGCCCAGCTCCAGGTCACCATCTTAGCTGTAGAGGATGCAGGGTCACTGGCCCTCATGTGGGATCCAAACCGGTGGCCCTACTGCTCAGAGCTGGCCAACTCTTAACCAACGAACCACTCAGCTGGCCCACAAGAATCTTTCTTGTTGCTCTCTTGTTTGCACTTCCTTCCCAACCCCACCCCCTCCTGAACTGTTTGCAACCACTATTCTGTTCTCCCTGTCTATAATTTTGTCGTTTCACAAATGTTATATAAAAGGAATTTCACAATGTATAACCTTTAGGGATTGGCTTTTTTCACTTAGCATTAAATTATTCTCTGGAGATTAATCTAGGTTGTGTGTATCAATAGTTCATTCCTTTTTATTACTTATTGGTATTCCATGGTATGGAGAGTGCACAGTTTGCTTAACCATTTACCCCTTGAAGAACATCTGGGTTGTGGAAACATTTTGGGCTATTATAAATAATAAATAAAGCTGCCATAAACATTTGTATACAGCTTGTTGTATAAACATAAGTTTTCATTTCTCTGGGATAAGTAGTCAGGAGTGCAACTGCTGTGTTATGTAGGAGTTGCATGTTTTGTCTTTTTATGAAACTGCCAAACTATTTCCCATTTGTAGAATGGAAGTGGCAGCACCATTTTGCTTTCCACTGCAGTGTAAGCGTGATCCAGTTTCTCTGCATCCTTACCAGCATTTGGTGTTGGTGCTATTTTTTAACGTTAGCCATTGATAGGTTTATAGTGATATCTCACAGTTTGCATTTGCATTTTTCTAGTGATTCATGATGTGGAACATATGTTGATGTACTTATTTACCATAGCATATCCTCTTCAGTGAAATATCCATCCGTTCTTATCTCTTGCCACTTCCTAATTCCATTGTTTGATTTTTTAGTGCTGAATTTTGAGAATTCTTTATGTTGTCTAGATACTAGTCTGTCCTTTGTTTGCTACATGGTTTGGAAATATTTCTCCCACTCTGTATCTTGTTTTTTCATCCTCTTAACAGGGTCTTTGCAAAGCAAAATTTTCAAAAGATTTGACAGAACCAATTTTGATTAAGTCCAACTTATTAATTATTCCTTATTGATTGTACTTTTGGTATACTCTTTGCCTAACTCGAGATCCTAAAGTTTTTCCCTAAAGGTTTTATAGCTTTAAATTTTACATTTAAGCTTGTGATCCATTTCGAGTTAATTTGTGTATAAGGCATGAAACTTAGGTAGGGGTTAATTTTTTTGCCTATGGATTTTTTTCACATTTGTTGAAAGGGTTATCTTTTCTTCATTGAATTGCTTTTGCATATTTGGCAAACATCAGTTGGGTGTATTTGTGTGGGTCCCTTTCTGGGTCTGTATTCTATTCATCTACATGTCTATCCCTATGCTGATACCACACAGTCTTGATTACCTGGCTATATATAATGTCTTGAAATTGCATAAACTAATTTCTCCAACTTGGTTATTCTTTTTCATAATTGTTTTAACTATTCTAGTTCCTGTGCCATTCTACATAAGTTTTAGAATAATTGGGGGGCCTTTTTTGTCTGCTCCCAAATTGGCATTTTCAAGTTGCTTCATCTTAAGCTCTAAGTCTGAGATAACGAGGCAAAAAGAAAACCCAGGGACCTCACCGCTGTATTGTTTGCTGGGCCCCTAAGTTCCTAGCTAGTCTGCCTTCTTCTCTCCACCTTTCAGAGACTTTCTATGTTTGTTTTATATATAAAAGCCAGGATTTTTAGCTGTACTTAGCAGAAGGAAATGGGGAAAATATGACTACTAATATCTTCCCAGGAGGAGCTCTCGAAACACTTTTAATGCAAACTTAATTGCTAATTTAAAAATCTTTGTTAATCCCCTACCCACTACTACTTCATTAGGCAGAGTCCTTTTTTTCATGCTATACAGTTGAAAGTGTGTGTATTAATCAGGATTCTCCAGAAAAAAACAGAACTAATAGGAAATAAATATTTATATATCTGTCTATACCTGTATATATTTAGATATAGATATAGATATAGATGATAGATAGATAGATAGATAGATAGATAGATAGATAGATAGATAGAAAGAAAATAAGTAATGGACGTTGGCAAGCCCCAAGATCTGCAAGGTGAACTGGCAAGCTAGAGACCCAGAAGAGCCAATTGTTTAGTTCCAATCCTAGTCAGAAGGCCTGAAGACCAAAGGAGCTGATGGTATAGTTCCAGTCTGAGGGCTGGCAGGCTCCAGACCCAGGAAGAGCCAATGTTTCTATTCAAATCCAAAGGCAGGAAAAATTCTCTTCCTCAGAGGAGGGTCAACCTATTCAGGCCTTCATCTGATTGGATGAGACCCACCCACTGTAGGGGGTGGTAGGAAATCTGTTTATTCATTCTACCCATACAAATGTTAATTTCATTCAAAAACACTCTCACAGAAACAACCAGAATAATATTTGACCAAATATATGGGCACCCTGTGCGCCAATCAAGTTGACACATAAAAGTAATCATCACAGTATGCCAACAGGACTACAAAATGGGTTAATTTGGAAGTAAATATGAATTCTGACCAAGGTTGCTCACAAATTCATATTTTGAGCTGACTTTGAGATATATAGAGAAACTCAAAGGGAATGAGTAGAGCCTTTCAAAGATTCAAAAATATATTTACAGAGAGAAACCACTGTAATCTGGAAGGCAGTATGGCTTTGTGGAAAGTAGGAAAATCATGGTTGCCATGTTTCTTCAAGAGAGCTTTATATACAGGAAAACTGTTAAAACATTTATTTTTCCTGATTCTTGGAGTAAGAATTTATCTTTTCCATGGTTGAAAGAATTTAATAATTCAAAGTAAGAATTTCTCATGACCTATAATCCTTTTGTCACAATCTCTTCACATTCCCTCTGGGGTCAGCACCCAGTGTCAAGAGTGCTAGTTCTCAGTACAGGCAGTATCACTCGTGGGAAAGACTTTGTACTCAAATAAATCTGGGCTCCTAAGTGTGTGACCTGGGGCGAAATACTTCACCTCACTAAACAGCAGCTTTCTTATCTAAAAATGAGGAATTTAGTATCTGTGAAATCAGTATGAATGTTCCATAATTGAACATCCTCAAATGTTAGGCATCTGGATAATCTTCAGTTTTGCAGCTTTATAGATAAGACTGCCATGTTGGTACTGAAATCTTCATTTTGGATCATTTCCTTAAATTCAGCTTCCTATAGATAGAATTACTAAGTCAAGGGATAGAACCTTCTAGAAAGGTGGTACCAAGCCTGTACTAGCGATGGTAGCAAAGGTGAGGTGGTGGGAGAGGGAGAGACTTTTCTAATTTTTAAACTTTATATTTTCTAGAAACATCAGGTGATGAAGGAGGAGGAGACACAGAAATGAAGCAGCAGGAGACGGCTCCGGTTCCTGCCCTGCCAAAGAAAACCAAACAGGTGACAGTCATTGTGGGAGAGTCACACTGTTGGCTTCTGCAATCAGCCTCTTGTATCTGGTACCCACTATGGCATCCCTGTGCCTAACATTTGCTGGTGGGATTTCAAGGAAACTTTTACCTTCTCTGCCTTTGAAAGAGCCGTGCTTCGTTAATTATAAACAAGCAAAGTCTATTTTTCCCCAATTTTTTTTTTACAATATAAATGTATTTTATAATAATGGTATCTTAGATTTTTGTATAATGTTTTCAGTAAATATCCAGTCTTATTCTTCTATGTACAGTTCCTAAAAGGAGACAAGTTTCATAAAGATAGGGAAGATTCCCATACACACACACGAACGCATGATCCCACTGCCATGCCATGCTGCCAGCAGGCTCCCAGGGCCTCCTGCTACCCACCATCATGGTCCATTGCATGAATTCTTATCACAGGGTTTGCTGCCTTCATAGTACCATAAATGGCCATTTGATCAACTTTGTTTCCTGGACCTATGATCTTTTATTTCCTTTTCAGCCTTTCTACTGCTCACTCACATTCATTTGCAGCTTTTTCACATTATGTGTTCCTTAAACTTGATTGGTAACCATGTGTCATTTTTAAGGGAGTATCTACTGTCAGTCCAAAGTTATCAACTTTGTAGTAATGATGTGTGGTCTCATTATAAGTGGCCCTAAACTCATTTCACTAGAGCGTGATGCTACCCAAAGTTTGTGACCGGGTTCAGGATAATTGGGAGAAACAGTTTGGCGTAATGGTTACCTACAAGCCGTAAGACGTTAGGTAAGTTAAACTCTGCCTCCATCTCCTTATTGGTAAAATGGTGATAGTAGTTGTATTTTCCTCACAAAGCTGCAGTGGGTACTATTGCTTGTTAAGCACTTTCAACAATGGCTGGCAAAAAGAATAAGCACTGAAGTGTTAATTATAGTGAAATAGATGTCATCATTTTTATTTTATTCATTATTTTTTCTTTGTGGGAAGAGGAAGGCAGAAAGATATACATACCGGGGGTGCCAAAAACATGTATACACATGGCTTGTATTCATCTTTTGTTATCAGCACATATTGAGTATTACAACTTTAATCCAGTTTCTTCCTTTCTTAAAATGTATATACATTTTTTTTGGCACCCTCTGTATTTAATATATAATCATCTTAGTTTTCTCTCCAACCATTAATTATTTTGCTCAAAGGCCCTATATGAGCTTTAATTCACTCTGTCAAAGACCCACAGATTAATAGTCTTAGCTTTTCAATTTACTTCACCAAGGTGGGGTTTCATTTTACCTTCACTTAGCCCACTGACCATGCCATCATCACGCCTCCTTTGACCTTTGCCTCTAATCAGTGCCTACCTGCAGGACTTATCTCCACATATTCTTCTTCATACCCCACTGGCTTTCTTTTTCCTTACTTTCTCCCTTGATACTCTTCTTGCTACCTGCCCGTGTTTCCAGGACTCATTGGTGAAAGAAGTTTGCATTAATAGACTTGCCCAAGCCTGCATCTGCCCTGTCTTCATTCGTGCAGCCATCTGCATTGCTAAATTTCCTATTTTTAGCTCCGTCCTCCATGGCTCTTCTTTTCCCACAACCACCATGTTAGATAAACGGCAGAGAGCCGTAGGAAAAAGAGGGAGAAATGGGAGGGGAAAAAGTTAACTACATTCCTCATCCCTGTGAGCATTCGCCTATCTTTCAGCAGCTCGAGTTTCAATAATAATAAAGACCATTTATTGAGCACTTACCACAGGTCCCGTGCAAAGCACCAACTCCCATAATCCTCAGGCTGCCCTGTGAAGTACAGGGAACCCTATTTGACAAATGACCTGAGGCTCAGAGAGATGGGCTCCGGGGTCATGGCCCACTTGGGTGGCTGAGAGCCAGGCTCTGAGGACGCTGCTGGTCCACGTCCCTTTTCACCTGTCCTTCCTCTTTCGCCTAGGGAAAACTGGATTCACCGTGTCCTCATATGCATTATTGGTGACATGCCATTACTATTTTCTGCTAAGAAAACAAATTGCGAAAGCGTAAGATTTCATGGCCCGTTTTAACCACCGTCCTCTCTCTCTAATTTCTTTCCTACCAAATTGCTTTGAAGAAATCAAATCCTAGGTGCCCTAACCCCTTCCTCTAAGCCTCTCCTCATTTCCCGAACCAGAGAATTCTGGGAGTCTCCTGTGCCCCTCTGACTCCTATGAGTTGCCCGCCTAGCTCCCTGGTCTCCCCCACCACTCTGAGCACCCTGAACACAGAGCATACCTGCATTTCCACAGCACCTCGTGCAAAATCTTGCCCTGAACTGACACTCATTAGCTGTGAAATGAAGGAATGGGTGAATATAGCCTTATTCCAGTTTTCTCACCACTCTTTTCATCTCAGCCTTTTGTATCCCAGCTTGTGAGCCATCAGCTTCCTGACGCTGCTGCCTGCAGAGGTCCCTTGGACCCTGGTGACCCAGTGTCCCTCCTCCAACCCCCTCTTTGAAAGTTTCCCCCACCTTTGCATTCAGAGCTGGGGTCTCTCTCCCTCCACCCTAACTGTTCACACGGCCCCTCTGGCTCTACTGTGGGCTCTTCGTTCTCTCTCTTGCTGCTCTGCTTCCTTTGGCCCTTATCTCACCACCCCGAGGACATCCTTCCTGTCAGGCAGACTGTCCTTTCTTGAATCTCCTTCTAGTTCTTTACTCATAGAGCTTGAGTCTCCAGCTTGTTCATAAGCATCTTGGGGCCAGGGTTTTTTTGTGTTTATGACAGTGTCTAGCAGAGTGCTAAGCGTTCGACTCACGTGGTAGATGTGACTGGATGTTTGTTGTTTAATAGTAATTCCTTTTTTTCTATATCAAAAAAGAAAAAAACATTTTATGCTGTATTTACATTTTTAATTTTTTAGTTAGCTTACTCGCTTTGCTGTTGTTTCAGGGATTTTTTGATGTTGTTTTTAATGCTTGCATAGGAACTGCCTGGCACTATGCTGCCAGCTGTCATATACATTCAGGCTTTAATTTCACCAGGCGAGAGCATCTGTTGAGTTAAATAGTGTTCCTTCCTGTGCCATAGTTGGCCTCGCATTTCCGTTCTGACTCTATACCTCCCATCTGTCCAGTATTTGTAGCAGCAGATTTATAACTTTATAAAAGTTTTTTTTTTCCCATGCAACAACATCATCTCTAGCAACGATTTCACATCTAAATAATCATCCTTGGCCTCCTTAATAATGTGAGTATAAAGATTTGCCAACAGTTCTCTTTTTTTTCCAGATATTGCTTCCAAAATAAATGATGAATTCCCTTACTCCTAGAGATTGCGTCACCCACTTCCCTGCTCACCATCCGTCATTTCAGAGCTAGCCCTAGTGACTTGGTAATTATGGCTCCCTGAAGGAATATAATCCCTTAGGAGGGATTCCGTGACTTTCCATGGATGCCTTCATGATGTCAGTAGACTAGCAGTGGTTCCATGACCCATCCTCTCCCCCTCAGAGACCACACTGGACTTCTTTCTCTGAAGCTAGCTGTTTGTTTATCTCTTAGATCATAAAGGAATCTCCAGCAAGAGTACTTATCCCTTTCCTCCTTACTCACCTTTCTCTTCTGTTGTATTTTCTTACTGTTTCCTTGTTTGAGCATTGATCATTTCATCTCTCCCACTCTTGATCTTCAAGATTACTCTTGGGCCCACCGGGTGGCACAGTTGGTTAGAGCACGAGCTCTGAGCAACAGCGTCGCCGGTTTGATTCCCACATGGGCCAGTGAGCTGCACCTGAGCTGAGATGCCACTGAGCTGCAAACGGGCAGCCGGATGGCTCAGCTGGTGAGAGCGTGTGCTCTTAACAACAAGGTTACCGGTTCAACTCACACATGGGATGGTGGGCTGTGCCACCCCCACCACCCTCCCCACTGCAACTAGATTGAAAGTGGTGACTGGACTTGGAGCTGAGCTTGTGCCCTCCACAACTAAGATTGAAGGGCAACAACTTTACTTGGAGCAGATAGGTCCTGGAAAAACACAATGTTCCCCTTGCCCGATTCCCCAGTAAAAAAATTAAAAAAACAAAAACAAAAAAAAAAACGATTACTCTTGACAATTTTAAGAGAAAAGAGGAGTATGTCCTAGCCACTCTCTGACTTACCTTCTTCCTTTCCATGCTGGTGTCTCAATTCTGTTCCTCTCTGTATTAATCTATTGTAGTATAACAAATTGACCCCCAAAGTTAGCAGCTTAAAACATAAAAAACAAAAATTCTTTACTTAATAGTTGCTGTTATCTCACAGGCATGGCTTAACCTGGTCCCTCTGGCTTTCCATCTCCCATCAGGTGCCAGTCAAATTATGGGCTGGGGTTGGGGGGCTCAACCTCTTTGTTGGCAAACCTCAGTCCCTCGCCATGTGAGCCTCTCCACAGGGTTGCCTCATAACATTGCCACTGGCACACCCACAAATCTTTTCCAGGTAAACTCTTCTCTACCTTGGGCCCCTGCTGAAACAACTGAGGGACAGTACCCCTTAAGCTTCCTAGAGACATGTTTGAGAAAATCTGTGAGGCTAATATTTATTTCTTTAAAGAGCTCTTATGTGACTAAATAGCATTCTGAGGTACCATCTTTGTGCTTTCTGAGGTCTTAAGCAATGGATTTGCAGCCATACCCTTGACTTTTTTTTCTTTTTTTTTTAATTGGGGAACAGCCATGGTCATTGGTTACACATTGCTTTCATGCTACAACAGCATAGCTGACTCGCCTAGGGAGGACGCAGCTCACAGTGGCCCACGCGGGGATCGAACCGGGAACCTTGGTGCCATCAGCACCACGCTCCAACCAACTGAGCCAACTGGTCACCCCCCCTTGACTTCTTTGATAGTCCAACTGAACCCCCTCCTTTTGCATTTCCCCATAAGCCACAAGAAAACATTGATGATACCTTCAACGCTATTTGGATCTCCTTCGCTAGATAACCCATAGCATTAGATACGTTTTCTACTTTTCATGAAACTGCAGACA